TACCTGCCCTCAGCCAGTGTGGTGTAGAGTTTAAGAGCAGTGTGGACTCGTAATCTGGGGATCCGGGTTCGCGTCTCCGCTCCTCCACATGCAGCTGCTGGGTGACCTTGGGCCAGTCACACTTCTCTGAAGTCTCTCAGCCCCACTCACCTCACAGAGTGTTTGTTGTGGGGGAGGAAGGGAAAGGAGAATGTTAGCCGCTTTGAGACTCCTGAAGGGGAGTGTTAAAGTGGGATATCAAATCCAAAACTCTTCTTCTTCTTCTTCTCCTCATAACTTTAACTCCCTGAAGCTGCTGCACTGTGTGAGTGTGTGTGTGTTTCCTCTCTTAAAAAACGAGCTCCACAGGAGCTAGTTCAGTCAAGAAAATGGTGTGGGGAAACACTCCCTTCCCAGTGCCACACTCTGATTAACTTTGGATGCCTTCCTGTGGCTGCGTTAAAAGAAAAAATTAAAGGTTCTCCGGTATTGCATATGGTCTGGTCTTAAGGAGGACATGAAAAAGGGGGAAAGAGGAAGTGCAGATGGGAGAGGCTGTTCTATTTTCCACATTGGGCATTGCTCTTTCAATTCCTACTTTTCAGTAAAGATCCTTCTCACCAACATCGGCTTGTAGGGCCACTTCCACCTTATTCTGCCCTATGCAACCATTACTCTTTCCACCACTGCTTTTAAGTTCATGCTCCCTATTGAAACCATGCAGTTTCTTACACCCTGCACAATACTGGCACTAAACAAACATTTCAACAATAATGACTGAGAGGACCAGTCCTGCCCCTGTAAATATATGTCAGTTACAGTGGCATTTAGCTTAACTCTAATGACTAGTAAGTAAATCAGATTTGAATTATAACAGAGTATTAATATATGGAGAATATGAGAAACACACAGGATATCCTAATGATAAATAAAATTTTAACACAAAGGTTATATTTTGGATTTTGACTGCATTTTAAAGCCTATGGTTTTTTTCTGTGGAAATGCTATTATTCATACTTTTTATTTCAAAATGGAAGCCAATGTATACAGCGCTTGCTTCCAATAACACCATTTTACAAATTACAGAAAACAGAAGTAATATTAACCATTTTCATCCTGGCCACTGGCTTCTGGTGTTCCTTGTCTTTGATCCTCCTCAGGTGCTTCAGGGTAGATAACTGCTGTATCGTCTTGTTGCAGAAATTCTTCAACATTAGGGTCATGATTTTGTTCATTTTCTGCATCAGAATCACATTCATCTTCTTTTACTACAAGTAAAAGACAATTTGTGAAGAATGAGAGAATTTCAGTAACAGATATTAGAATTCGGCTTTCATTTTTAAAGGAGAGACATGTCACAGCCTTCATAACTATGGAGAGAAGCTTGAAAACATGCGGACAATGATAAGTCTGGGCCAAAGTCTGCATGCTGGAACAAATAACTCTTTATTTCTCCCTTTTTGGTCACTCCATTTAAAATACTGCCAAGGCTTGAAGCAGCATCATGGTAGCTGCCGCAGCTCTTGATGAGAACTACAATGCCATATAGGAGTTCTTGAAGGGAACTAGCCATGTTGCTAGCCACAGAATGTCTTAAGTCTGTGCGGCTGAAAATGATGGAGGGAGGCTGGGGGAAAAGGGCTCCCTTTTGCTTCCTGCGATGCCACTGCTTCCAAACCACTGCCAACGGCAAGGTAAGGGGAGAAAGCATGTTACTGGGACGGCGGCAATAGCTTTGAAACTTGCAGGAACGTAGTAACTGGTGGTGGTTTGGTGAACTCTTGAACTCTTGGGATTTTTCATGGGAACACGGAAAAATCCCGACATGCCAGAGGAAAGCCCCTGGTATTCCATTCATCACTACCTTCTTGATATCTCATTCCCTGCTTACCTTCTCTTTAACGCAGGCCTCCGGCTCCTATACAAATCTTTGCCCCAGGTCTCAGTTATAGGAGAGAAGGCCTTAGCAGTATAGAAATAGTTCATGCAACTCGTAAACTGGAGTTCATGATATTATTAAGTGATTTGCATATAAACCTCCACACTCTCTACATCCTGAGCTAATTTGGCAAGTCTTACTCCATATGCCTCCTGATCTAAAAGAGGACTACCCCCTTCTCCATGGGCCCTCTCCACCCGAGATTAGGCCCATGGTTTTTTTCCTGTCCTGGCACACTGCTTATAAAACTCCCTTCTGAAAGAAAGCCTGCAAGATACAATCCATAAGGACTGTTAGAGCAATGGCAAACAGTTTTTTGTTCTGCCAGGCCTATAGGATGTTGATTTTAATTCCGACTTCTGGGAGTATTGTTAATTTTAAATATTGCTGCTACTGGATGGTTTATTTTTAAACTCTTCTTTGAAAAAGCAGGAAGAGAAACAAAACTGTAAAAAACAAACACACCCATGAAAGATGCTAAAAAGACATGTTGCATACACATACACCCCTTGCCTTTTCAAAAATGGCTAACCTCACATTTTAACCTGTCAATCTTTGAAAATCTCAGTTTAGAGCACTGGAAGAAGAATCAGCAGCAATCTAGCAGCTCCAATTACCTGTATAGAGTCTATTTAAAAGGCACTCTTTGGCATCACAGTACAAAATGTATATTCAGGCATGCAGCACTTCCTTTTCATAGCTAAGTATGGGAAGTACAGCATGTGTAGGAGTTTGTATTGTGGTAGAGAAATTTCTGTTTCTTTTTGCTTACTTCCTTATTTTTTTTATCCTTTTAACACTTCGGTAATTGCATTTTCAAATACATCTCTATATCCCCAGAATATTAACAAGAGCTTGCAGTATGAATAAAAATTATGGGAGACAACATGCCCTACAGAGGTGTACGTCGCTCACCCAGAGTTAGGATATAGTGCCAATTTAAAACCCCATGCGAAGAATCATTATTTTCCATACAATTAAAATAAGGCAACTACAGTAAATAAAACATCCTTGGCATATTGTGGCTCATTATATATAAGCTAATTTTACATACATTGTTAAGCATAAAATGTAATATTAAGGTATTATGGCTAATAGTATTACCTCAGCTGGGACCCATCATAATGCTCTGTTGTGATCTTGCAACAGACCAGAAGTAAATTGTTCATCCATTGCTCTTGTTCCCTGAACCAAAAAGCAGCTAAGAGGCTGCAGAGGCACTGCAGTCAGTGGAAGGGATTGCTTTGCATAATTTACTAGCAACACCTCAAAACGGCTCTAATGGGAGTCTAAGCCAGTCATCTTCGCTAGTCATACTTCAGGCTTCATGTGCAGACAGACAGACCAAAAGGGCGAGGGGTGGCAGAGAAAGACGAATAATAGCCTTCCTCAAGAACACGCACTGTTATGTAAACCTCAATGATATGCTAAGTACCACAAACACAAATGAAGGAATTTGGTGACAAATACCTATACATCCAGATTCATCTGCTTGAGCTTCAGGCCCCAGGATTTCCTTTGCTTCTTTACTAGCTAAAATAGGACAAGAAGAGAAGCTTTAGAACTTTACATAATCCAGAAACCCTCATTTGCTTAAAACAGCTTTTTGTCTCTTGCCATTGGAGAAATGCACACCCTCAGACACCAGCACCATGGTGAGCAGAAATTTTCAGTTACACAACAGAAAGCAAACAGACTACAGCAACGAGCTGGAATTCATAAGTCTTTCTAGCCACTCTCTCACACCAGGCTATTGCAAAAGGTACCATTTCTGGTGCCTCCTGCAAAAGTCCAGTTGGAAGGGACCCTTGCTCTGCAGATTTGGGAAGCCCAGACAATTATGCTATTTGAACATGGATAAGACATTCTGCTGTATATTTAATCATGGTTGCCTCTTTTGCATAAATCAGATGTATGTTGTATAAAAATGCTCTGAGCATATTATTAACAACAGTACATGTTAGAAACTCTCCCCAATGTCCAAATTCAAGGAACAATATGTTTATTTACTATAGTAGTAAAAAGAACTTAGGAGTCTGAATCCTAAAACTAAAGGCAAATGTGGCATAATAGTATAAAATTAGAACATGTAATCAGAACGTTTATCAATAGATTTACTAGCCCTGATTAATGTTCTTGTAAGAGATAAGTACAGTACAGAAATGAAAGTACTATGCAATGTTGCTACTAAGCAAAAACAGCAAACAGATGATGCATTTTCCAATCACTTATTCTGCTATATACCAGTCCTGTATTGACATACAAGACTATTGGTTCAGTGGGTCTACTCTAAATATGACTTAGCTGGGTACAAACTGTATTTATTTATATCTCACTTTTCAAAGGTAATTTCTGGTGGATTTCCCAATATAAATAAAACTGTATAGAGACAGACAGACAGACAGACAGACAGACAGACAGATATAGATCAAAATCCAACAATCCAATATCAGCAAACAAACTATCAGGTAAAAATCTGAACAAATTTTAGAAGAATTTTGGATCATTTTAAAAAACAGTTTCATATCTATTTTAAAAATATAACCAGAAAATTTGAACAAAGGTTATTAAACCCCATTAAAAGCCTGCACAAACCGCATTATGCTTTCCTGGCATCCAACTACAGTGCTGTTTCTACCTACTGTTGATTAGGTTTAATTTATGGACTTGTAATGTTTATGTCTTACATGGTTAGCTTGTTGTACTGAGCCATATGTAACTTGCCCTGGGACCACATGGTGTAGGGTGGGCTGCAAATGCAAAATCAATAAATATAGTGATATATTAATTCTCTTCTGTCAGTACTAATTAACAGGCTTGCTGCTATATTTTGAATAATCTTGAAAGGCAACCTTGGTGCACTGAAGTTATCAATCTAGATGTTATCAGGGCCTTGATAACTTTGGCCAGCTTTCATTTCTGTAATTTTTCTTTCTTAAAATATTGATAGTGGATTTGGAAGTTGATGGCCAAAACAGGAGATTCCATGTGTGCTCTCAAAGCATGGCCTTCAATTACGTGAGACACTGCCCACTATTTATACTTTGTGTATGAGTTTAGAAAGTGTCTAGAAAACTGTGCTAGGATCTGTAGGAAAGACCTTGGGCTTGCAGCTGATGCCATTTAGAAGATTCCTCCTAAAGAATTCACAACATGCCTCTGTAAATAGCTCTAACTTAGCCCTGGAAATAAAATTAGGTTTAAATTCAAATGTGAACATGACCCTGGAGAATGTGAATTATTCCTGGGTATACTCTACTTCATTTAAGAAGTTCTACCTTCTTCATGGGAGGATGACCTAACAAGCACACACAACTTTTCAAGCAGCAGACTTTAGTTAAGTATTGCTTTATTCACACAAGTACAAATACAGAGATGTGCAGATAGGTCATCAAACTATTCCCAAGTGATAGATTTAAGCTAATTTATTATGTACAAACCAAATGTTTGCCTCAGATATCTATCTATCTCATGCTTCCTCCTGTTACCCCTCCTGCAGATAAACCAGATTTCAAAAATTAAAACTAGAAATATGTAGTAGCAAAAGAAAAATTGCAATCCTTCAATCTAGCTGTCGATTTCTTAAAACTGAGAAATGTCATATAACAAGAGACTGGGTTGTTGCTTTATTCCACAGAAGGTGGTTCAAGGAACTTCAAAGCCTTGACCTATGGTACTCAGATCTAATGCTTTTCCTGTTTCTTCAGAAGAGAGGTGAAACGTCTGTAACACCAAATATTTTAAGTATTCCATATGATACAAAATTTATTCAACTGGGTTGATGATGTGAGAAGCTGAGAGAGTAAAGGCATGGGCTCAGAGAAGTGTATCACAAGAATAGAATTCTAGGAGTGTATTACTTTTTCTGATTGGCATTCTCTGGTAGTAAAGTTGGGAGATTGCAGTGAGATCTAACAGAAGTGACAGACTAATTGAAACCAACAACATGTACTCTAGCTATCTTTTTGTAGTATCATCACAAAAAAGGTTACTTCATAGAGGCACGTGAGTGTCTTCCTGTTGCAAAGTAATTAAAAATTGCTCATTTCCTCTGCTGGAACAGAAAAAAGCATTTAGGAAAGGAATCTTAAAGAGTTTGTGGAAGTCAGAATTCAATACTGCTGAAGCAAACAAACAGAATGGTCAGCAGGCTTACAGAGATTGATATCTAACTCTGCAAAAGTTAAATGGTTATAATAGTGATAAAAGATCTTGAACATAGTTGGCCTTCATGTTTCTTTAAGTACCAAAGAAGACCTCATTGTGCTGGGCGAAAAAATCAACAAGGTAGTCAAGATCTGAACAACATGAACACGACTTAAATGCAGAAGAAAATGCATTTAGACCCCCCCTAAACACTCCCAGCTTTGTCAATAATTTGAGATTTCATAAACCAGAAAAGACACAGCATGCCCATGCCCATGGCAACTTGGCACCCCATTGAAAAAGAACTCCATGGCTGATTAGGTGGGGAATAAAGGCAAAGAGCCTAGGAGCATAATAAGTTCTTATGTTTGATCATTACTGGTGGGTGTCAGAGTAAGAAACTGAGGAAACAGAAAAAGTTGAGTCTCAAGATCTAGCAAAGCCCTACTGCAACATCCCAGTGAACTGGTAAGGACCAAGAAGCTTTTGAGCCCAAGAAAATACAGTGGTACCTCAGGTTAAGTACTTAATTCGTTCCGGAGGTTTGTTCTTAACCTTAAATTGTTCTTAACCTGAAGCACCACTTTAGCTAATGGGGCCTCCTGCTGCTGCCGGGCCGCTGGAGCACGACTTGTGTTCTCATCCTGAAGCAAAGTTCTTAACCTGAAGCACTATTTCTGGGTTAGCGGAGTCTGTAACCTGAAGTGTATGTAACCTGAAGCGTATGTAACCTGAGGTACCACTGTAGTGATTAAGGCTACACACGTCTTCACGTGAGCAAAATTCCATGCAACCTGACAAATTAAACTCATGATAAGTGGCATATGAAAGCAAAAAATGTCTACAGAAAGACACATAGGGCTTTTAATGAAAGAAACTGCAGAATGAAGTAATACTTAATTGAAAGCAACCAAATTTGAACAGTGGACAGATTTTGCTCAGACACCTGTTTTCAAAACCAAGGAGGAGAGTGTTGGCGGAAGTAAAAAATAGGTATATAGAAAGGAGAATTCCTTAGATTCCAAAATCCAGATTTGGGGGCAAGTACTCTTTGGTGAGAGAAGCCCTGCAGAGATTTAAAATCACAAAACATGCAGCAAAGTAAAGTGTGGAGATAGACCTTTAAAATATGCTGTTGTGAGTTCCAAAACTTCCCTCTTCTCCCAGCAAAGCAAAAGACCAAAAGTCTAGTAAGTTAAACATTTGTTTACTTACAAACTCTTCAACATGTGCTTTTCCATACAACATTCAAAAAAAGTTGCACAGGAAGTAAAACTTGATTACAATGGTGAAAGTTCCTAAATTATTGTTATAGGAACTGAAGAGCGGCTTGTGAAAGCCATGTGGCTAAGCCAGAACAACCAGCTTATTCATCTTCACATGGTGAGTTCATCAGGTACACTGAGAGAGAACGATAAGCTTAATTGCCCATTTCCTCCTAAGGTATGCGGCAGTGATGCTGCTAAGCCTGGCAGGACAGCTTATTCTATGGTATTAACCCCCTTATGCATTAATTAGACTTAAAGCATGTTGGTCATATAAGGCTGGTTGTCCCACAGAAAAAAACCTGAAAACTGGATTAGTCCTGCTACTTCTGAACACAACTGGTACTATTAACCCAACCCCAGCTCACAAGTCAATGGGTGTGGGCACTTCATTTACATGGTAGAATGAGTGGCACAAGTCTCTTCTCTCTGCCATACAGGTAACTTCTTGTATGAAGCAGTAACTCTATCAGCATTAGGTAAAATAGGGTGGGGGAGATGATCTACCTGAATCAGGACCAAAAATAACTGTTATTTGAGCTAGCAGTCAACAGCTGTTCCCTTTTCTTTCATTTTTATGCAGAATACAGTCATTTCAGTGCTGTGCAATTTTGTAAAAAGTTAATATATTGCTATGTTTGCAAGGTCTTTTTAGGTAGAGACACTGATGATGACACATACCTTCATCTTCCCAGCAACTGTTTGCACTTCCTTCTCTTTCACTGCGTTCTGGTAATACTGCATGGTCTTTTGGCAAGTCATCATCTGGCACGCTGTTATCACAATCTGCTGCATCTGGTATACTTTCCTCTTCAACAATGTGCAATTTGTCTTCGTCATCTGAATCAGAATTTGTTTCTACAACGTTATTGTAATTGGTAACTGCAGAGAAACAAAACGAAAGATCAGTGTAACTATGCTGTTTAGTAACTTTTGGTTTCCAGTGTGTACTGACAATTTGCTCTATTTGCTGACTTAAGAGGCCAGGCCTCAATTCCTGACAGGAAGCAGAATACTATAGTAATCAATGGTAAAACACATTCTGCCCATATTCAGAGGCAGCTCCTCCTTTGAGGTGACTCAGATCAAGACCTGTAATTATGGCAGTTCTATTAAAAAAATATATGCAATGGCAAGAGATCCACAGAAGTTCCTACAGTATAATTCAGTATAATTCTGAGTGTATATTACTACAAAGCTAGTACAGTGGTACCTCGGGTTAAGCACTTAATTCATTCCGGAAGTCCGTTCTTAACCTAAAACTGTTCTTAACCTGAAGCACCACTTTAGCTAATGGGGCCTCCTGCTGCCACCGCGCCACCGGAACACGATTTCTGTTCTCATCCTGAAGCAAAGTTCTTAACCTGAAGCACTATTTCTGGGTTAGCGGAGTTTGTAACCTGAAGCGTATGTAACCTGAGGTACCACTGTAATGCATAATACTATGGTTTGTTGCTAATGACCTGTGACCAGTCTCCATTGCTCTTAAACCTTGTTCCAAGATGGCAACAGCCATGAGTGGCACTGCCCAAGAGGCTTGGGGACAATGCAGGCAGCTCTCAGTGTGAGTTCAGTTAGAATATTGTTGTTCCATGCCAGCTACGTATTTGCACTAACAATCAGAGTATGTTAATAATGGCTAAGAGCTTTTTAGAAATCAAGTAGCAGAGAGCTAGATATCTCAACAGAAACTGTTGCATAGCAGTTGCATCGCATGCCTCCTCTAAATGTATGCTACTTTGGCTTCCATGATGGAAGAAAGAATGGATTTACGGTAAGAAAAGAATTTAAAATTAGTCCCATTAGTCCCACTGGTCCCATTTCAAATTATTTCCAGCAAATTTCTTGTTGGCTTTTATTTTTCATATGCATATGACATGGGTACTTGCATTAACTAGGTAATTTCAATTTGATTATACCACCCATGGGCAATAGGGATGTATCTGAATGCTTGAGGGAACAAAAAACAAATTAGATAAACTTAGAAACCAGACCCCCCTAAGCAGACCCCCCCCATAGTGAGCATGCTCAGAGGGTACGCACTGCTGACCAGGAAGGAAAGGAAAGAGAAGTGCTAAAAACCAGAGGGAATGGAGTATTGTGTAAAGACGCTGCTGACTGGCTGGGACACTGAACAGGAGCACCCCACACGGCAATGTTTCCTTCAAAGCCAACTTGTAAAGGGTATTAGTCTAGTTTTGAGCCATCAAGCTAATACTGTTACAGTTCTACCACACATTACCCTTTACAAATAATTTATTAAGGATTTCAGCTTCAATAATCAGAAGTAAAGCTGTTTACCATACCAATCTATAAAGCTAGAGGCTACCGCTCCCTTAAACATAGTACTGCATGTGCCCCCTCCATCCCTTTGGTAATACACAAGCACAAACAGCACTTTTGATCCGTCAGACATAGCTCCTCCTTCAGCATATGAAACCATGAGTCTATGGTTTCACCTATAGCTAAGATTTTTTGATGGTTGCCTGCTTCTCAGAATGAAAGATTAATTATGTAGGAGATCCAGTTATATCTTCAGTCTTTTACCAACCAACCACCCCACCCCCCTTTAGGGAAGCTGAACTGAATTGGCACACACACATGTACTGTATTTGATTTGACCAACGGTGCCAGAGGAAGGGTGCATAGTACTTTTTAGGGATGCAGGTGGCACTGTGGTCTAAACCTCTTGGGCTACTGTTGCTCTGTCCCAGCTCCTGCCAACCTAGCAGTTCAAAAGCACACCATGCAAGTAGATAAATAGGTACAGCTGCAGCGGGAAGGTAGACGTTTCCGTGCGCTCTGGCTTCCATCACGGTGTTCCGTTGCACCAGAAGCGGTTTAGTCATGTTGGGCACATGACCCTGAAAGCTCTCTGTGGGAAAATGCCAGCTCCCTCAGCCTGAAAGGCGAGATGAATGCCGCAAACCCATAGTCGCCTTTGACTGGGCTTAACCGTCCAGGGGTCCTTTACCTTTTTTTTTTTTAACCTTTGCATAGTATTTTTCTTACAGTACCCATTTGTTCTTATCTAAAAGCATATCTGAAACTGCTGTTAGCCCTGTAGAAATGATTATGATTGGGAATCGTATACCATACAGCATTAGAAGTAAGTGTGAGACACATCCCCCAAAGTGCTACAGCTCTGAGCAAATTCAGAGCCCCCACCCCTGCTTTCTGAAGTAAAAATAAAAATATTGGGAGATCCAATCATGGTTCTCAAGCAAAACATGCCCAGAGAAACTGGTCAAATCTCATCAGTTGGTTGGTGTGCAATCAAACAAAGAAAAATGGTAAGTTATTTTTAGTCATTATTGAAGACTGTCAACATACTGTCACCAGATGGAATATTACATGCAGCATCACTGGATGTAGCTGGTTATAATAAAATATATGTTTATGATCATGTCTTTGTGGTGGTATAACTCCTACCACTCCTTCTCCCACCTCCCCTCCAAAAAACCCCTAAATTATATTTATCAAACATAAAGGTGCCTTATTCATAGTCTTTCCCATATATAAATATGGGCACAGCTTTTGAAAAAACAGGGGCTAAGAGACAATTGTGAGCCTGGCACATGAAGTCTCCCTGCTTAATCCTATCAATTTCCAAGAGTAAAGAAATATACCAGGGAGAGAAAATTGTACGGCTGAAAACGAGCAGCTCATCAAGACTCAAAAAATTATCTCACAGGCCCAGTGAGTCATCAGCAAAGACTAGGAGTTAAAGCAGGATGCAGAGCAAATAATCGCTGTCAGTTCTAACATGCAATGATGCAAGTCAATACAAGGACCATAGGGGAAGCAAACATTCACCTTTGCCCCCAGAACACCAGCTATTTGACCTGGGAGAAAGTTATATCCTTTCCCAAAAATCGGACAAATACTCAAAACCTGAGCATGTGGAGCTACAGTGAGGGGGGAAAGTATTTGATCCCCTGCTAAATTTGCCCGTTTGCCCTCTGACGAAGAAATGACCAGTCCATAATTTTAATGGTAGGTTTATTGTAGCTGTGAGAGACAGGAAAACCCCCAGAAACCCAGAAGACAAAAGTCAGAGATTGATGTGCATTATAATGAGTGAAATAAGTATTCGATCCCTTTGCAAAAGATGACTTAGTACTTGGTGGCAAAACCCTTGTTGGCAATTACAAAGGTCAGACGTTTCTTGTAGGTGGCCGCCAGGTTTGCACACATCTCAGGAGGTATTTTGTCCCACTCCTCTTTACAGATCCTCTCCAAGTCAGTAAGATTTCAAGGCTGATGAGTAGCTACTCGAACCTTCAGCTCCCTCCACAGATTTTCGATGGGATTAAGGTCTGGAGACTGGCTAGGCCACTCCTGGACCTTAATGTGCTTCTTCTTGAGCCACTCATTTGTTGCCTTGGCCGTGTGTTTTGGGTCACTGTCATGCTGGAATACCCATCCTTGACCCATTTTCAATGCCCTGGCTGAGGGAAGGAGGTGCTCACTCAAGATTTGACAATACATGGTCCCGTCCATCATCCCTTCAATGCGGTGAAGGTGTCCTGTCCCCTTAGCAGAAAAACACCCCCAAAGCATAATATGTCCCCCTCCATGTTTGATGGTGGGGATGGTGTTATTGGGGTCGTAGGCAGCATTTCTCCTCCTCCAAAAATGGCGAGTTGAGTTGATGCCAAAGAGATCGATTTTGGTCTCATCTGACCACAACACTTTCACCTAGTTCTCCTCTGGGTCATTCAGATGTGCATTGGCAAACTGCAGATGGGCCTGTACATGTGCTGTCTTGAGCAAGGGAACCTTGCGGGCTCTGCAAGATCTCAGTCCCTCACGGCGTAGTGTGTTATCAACTGTTTTCATGGTGACTATGGTCCCAGCTGCCCTGAGATCATTGACAAGTTCCCCCCGTGTAGTTCTGGGCTGCTTCATCACCGTTCTCCTGATTACTGCTACTCCACGTGATGAGATCTTGCATGGAGCCCCAGACCAAGGGAGGTTGACAGTTATTTTGTGTTTCTTCCATTTGCGAATTATTGCACCAATTGTTGTTACCTTCTCACCAAGCTGCTTGGCAATAGTCTTGTAGCCCAGTCCAGCCTTGTGCAGGTCTACAATCTTGTTCCTGACATCCTTGGACAGCTCTTCGGTCTTGGTCATGGTGGCTACTTTGGGATCTGCTGGACTGATTGCTTCTGTCGAGAGGTGTCTTTTGTACAGGTACTGTAATGAGCTGGAATTATAGGTGAGACCTCTCCCTTACAACAGGTGCTTCTAATCTCAGCTCGTTACATATAGTGAAGATATCAGGTAGCCTGACATCTGGCTGGTTGATAGGGGATCAAATACTTATTTCACTCATTATAATGCACATCAATCTCTGACTTTTGTCTTCTGGGTTTCTGGGGGTTTTCCTGTTGTTATTCTGTCTCTCACATCTACAATAAACTTACCATTAAACTTATGGACTAGTCATTTCTTCGTCAGAGGGCAAACGGGCAAATTTAGCAGGGGATCAAATACTTTCCCCTCCATTGGCGTAGCATGGGGGGTGCAGGGTGGGCCGGCCGCAACATCTGGGGTTAGGACAAATCCACAGGTTAGGGGGCGCAAATCCACGGGTTGGGGGCGCAAATCCATGGGTTACTTGCCTTGCCCCGGGTGCTGACAACCCACGCTACGCCACTGTTCCCCTCTCACTGTATCTGCTGTGTCTTCCATAGTAAATACTGAATTGGGACACATCTTCATACTATTTATCATCCAAATTCAAGTTAAGACAATCCTAATGCCCCTGAGAAGTATCCACACCACTCATTGAACGATAGCAGTGACAATAAACCCAGTGGAATTAAAAAAATTGCACTGAGAGATGGAGAAACAGCATATCCCTTTAATATATG